TGGAAGCTAGTGGGCTGACAGTAGTTTGTATAAGAGACGTATCCATGTGGCAAAGGCCTGACCATGACACTTACTCAGGGGCTTTAGCCTTAAATTAGTCACCAAGACGCAGGGGAGCGCGAATAACGACTTGAGTGGCACAGGTAGGGTGGCAAGGATCGAGTGAAATATGTAAACCAAGGCGAGGGCAAACGGATCTTACGGGGCAAGAGAGAGACTGTAGTACGACCAAGGGAAGGAGGACGGTGTAACAATATGGTAGACTCTGATGGACATTCCCAGCACAAGGATGAAGGGCGGTGAGAAGGCTGGCGTGGAGTGCGGGGGATTCTCATGAAAGCCGCTTAAAAGGGCACACCGTACCACAGTTAATTAAGCAAGATAAATATTGTGACGGTGAAGGCGTGATTAGGGAATATAGAAAATGTGAATAGACCAGGGCAAAATGGGAGATACCATAACTGTTTAGCACACGTTTGGTCAAAGGATCGGCTTGACTTGCCTCTTTGACGACTTGTAATATGGTGTTACGGATGGCGAGACTCACTGACGATGCCAGCGAAACGTCTGGTAAAGTACCACACCCACGGTCCGACTTTGGAAATAATTATGCATACAATGGACTCAGGACAAGGTGCGCCCCTTTAAGTCTCCCTACCAATATGACCAAGTTGCGAAAACAAGGTCAAACAACTTCTTATTTCTTAGGCTTACATTTTCAACAGCAAGAGGAATTCTGGGAAAAAGTATACAATAGATGGATGATGCATTTAAGAGCATCAAATTCTTGATAAGTGGAATTGGAATGGGAAGTGATGATTTATCAGGGCTAAAACAGGCCTCAACCGCAACTATAGAACATAACTGTGAGGGTAAATTAACTGAATGAATGAGCAGATACATAATCATGAGAAAAAGTGTTGGCTGTTGGGTGTGATGTGCTTGTAGGGTGAATGAAACAAATGTAAAAGGTATGAGAATGTGTAGGAGTAGGCGTAAAATAGATATAGCATTAATTAAAATTTAAACTTAAAGATAAGAACGAATCATTGAAGCAAGAGGGGAATTCTGATAGGACCTGGAGGATGATAATTGCGAACTAAACAGCAGTCTTGAATGAACACTCAGCACAGTGAGGGATGAGGGATCCAGTGGGGAGTGTGAATGGGTCTCATTAAATCCGCTCGAAAAGACACACCTGAACTATGTTTATATAAGCAATAAAAAAATTGTGAGTGAAAAGATGTTATGAGGATAGACGATAGGCAAATACATCATACAGGAGAGATAACACAATTATTTAGCAGATAATTAGTTAAAGGATCGACTTCACATGTCTATTTGACGAGTTGTGGTGTGATGCTAATGGCAAAGCTCACTGATGAAACCTACGAAACATCTGGGAATGCACCAAGTCCACGGCCTGACCCTGGAAATTACTATGCACTCTATGGACTCGGGACGAGATATGGTCTTCTAGGTCTTCTTGCTAATATGGCTAAGTTGCGAAAATAAGGTCATACAACTTTTAAACTAAAAAGCTGGAGAAAAAGTGAAAGGAGTGAAGTTAGGACATTAAAATGATATGAACACTTTCTATGAACAATCCAATTGGAGATTAAAAATCAGGAATTCTAAAACCAACCATAAAAAAGTAGAATTTTTGCGCGGTTTCGAGTGGTATTTTTAAAGTGTGTCCCTAAGACTATTTACGCCAAGAGCTGCTAGAGAAAGACTTTTATTATATTACACACCAAGTTTTCACTTTCTAAATACCCGAGGAATACTGGTTAGAATAAAGAAATTTTGAAAACAAGAGAAGTCTAACGGCGTATACAAAGCGTAAGGGAGTAAAACTTTATATTTAGACAAATAAAAGCACCAAGCAAGGTCATTCGGGAAAAGGAGAAGCAATAACTGGCAGGCTCGTATGAAAAAGAGGTAAGGAAGAGGAGGGTTTAGACCGCATGATTGGCATGCTCCGAATGAGGTAAGTCGTCGACAAAATGATGGTCCAATGTGTGTGTGGCTCTTCTGTAAAGACATTGAGCATGCGAAGAAAAGTTGGGCTTCGAGTTTAATTGACTTGTTAGCACGTTTTCGCCGGAATCAAGGGCGATTACCTCGGAAACAGCGTCAAAAAGAATGTTCTAGTAAAGCTAATCGACAGCTGGTCAAGAGGAATCCGCCGTCGTCTTCTGGTGGGACCGACCTTCGAATCTCCTCACCAAAAACTTTTATTTCAAATGAAAGTAAGCTCAACAAAAGAATGAGTCCCGTAGACTTGTGGAAAAGTGTAGAACATAGATTGTTTCATACTTTGGATAATCGCGGCCCTCTTGGCTCGTAGAGGTCGAACGAACTTAAATAAGATGCAGATGCACGATGCCTAGATAACATGCAATGGCGAAGCGAAAACTTGTTGCGCCGAGATGATGTCGGTAAGGCCAAATAAAAAGTGAGATGTTTAGGAATTCCAAACATTTCCTAAACAAATAGAACAAAGCAAGGGAATCGGCGAATACCGAAGTTGAAATAGGCTGTATAAAAAAGTGCCTTTTAAGCATGCCAGCAGGAAACCTATGCCATACGTATAGTATTTTGGTGAAGTCTCTACATGATCATAATTTAATCGGACTTTTAATAAACTCCGAGTGACGGAGGTAATACTTTATAGCATAAAAATAAAAGTTAAAAGGTTTTTAAATGATAATGCTTCCTAATCAAGTAAATAATGGCAGACAAAGATCGATATTTATATGCAATAAATGAAAAGAATATCTTTTTCATATCTCATCGAATAATAAATCAAAGCGAGATTTTGGGGCAGGCATTTGTATGATGCCATGATTTTCAACTACTTATTTATATGACTGAATTGTATAATAGTATTTCTTTGCAAAGTCATCTCATTTAATGCAAAATCATTGTAGGAGGTTAAAAAGTCTCACCTGCAGATTAAAAGTTTATTCTACGATTAATGAAGCGATATATTTGGGCCAAATAAGTATGAGAGGAAATAATGAGAGTATCTATAAGATTTCGTGCATAACCTAATTTAATGTAATTTAGTGGATGAGCATACAAAGGATTCCATTAAAATCCAAATATGATCCCGAATGTGTCCAGAGGAATTATAAAATCGTTTTCAATCAGTGAATGGTGTGGCATGTTAAAGTGAGTCTAGTTAGATCGTCCCATTTAGACGGAACACAATGTACTAGATAAAATGAGACTTGAAATAATAAATTCGATTCTAGAGTAAAACAAAGCACCTAACTCTAGGAGGTTCAGACAAGCGGATAAAAAATCATGGAAATTGGCATCATCAGATGAGTGAGATGCTTACGTTAAGGATGAGTATCTAAAAGGCCTCACTCATGCCGAAATGGGCTTAGCAGACACAAGCCTGAGAGTCTCACATAAAAATATTATACAAGAGTATAAATAAAATAAAATAAGACATTTAGCTCTAAATGGTTTATAGGCAATACATCAAAAACGACACTTAAGAATAGTTTTGTTGTAAAAAAAAATATTTTGCTGTGAGTGAAAAGGGTGAAGAACTGAACAAGAGAGAGGGACCCATTATGTAAAAACCATGGCATACAATAGTAGACTAAACAGATGAATTTCGGTTGATGTCACCTACCCTAAATTGTGGCTCAGCCAGACGAGCCCAATTCGTGCCCGATCTATAGTAGAAATCGGCGCATGGTGTGCCCGCCGCCTGTATCAATTCGATTGGGGGTGATCTAGGAGTTAAGCCTGAGCCAGGAGATAGGACAAACCGCGACTTTTTTGAATTTAAAATAAGTGGTAGGGTGGAGAAAACGGTCTCATCACATCGGAGAGGCGGTATATAGCCATTTAAGGTCCGTAATGCTGAAGAATGTTTAGGAGAAGTCGACGAAGTAATAGAACAATTATCCTCATCGTCCTTGGCAATATTTAAATTAGAGGACAAGCAGTGTGAACTAATTATTATCTTATCCGACACATCATTTGTCGAATGTGCACTCGGACCGTCAGTTTGAACTCCGACCGCTTCGGGAATCGGAGTATTGAGATGCGGATCGTCAGTCCACTGGTGTCGTGGGTCAATAGGAATTGCACGAAAGCAAAGAGTGACAAGTTCGCCTTGAGCTAATTGAACGCCTTGAGGTGAAAAAATGTAGATATAAAAAGGAAAATGCTAATGTTTATGAAACATGCAGTGGCATAACAAATTTAAGCAATCCGAGAATTTCAGAGATTTCATCGCTTTTTTAAGAAAGGTTGTATTTGACTCAGATATATCACAAAGTTCGAATTGATATGATTAAATAAAGATTATATAAAAGATCTTATAAGCTGATATTGACAGCATAGGCAAGTTTTAGTATTTCGATGGAAGTATAATATTTGAACTTAAAAATTGACGAGACTTCCATTATTTAAAACTAACTAGTATATTGAATAGTTTGCCCAAATATTAAAGCTCCATTTCTCTCTTGTATTTTTTACATAATTGAATCGCCATATAAGTAACTTCGTAAGTGGCAAATTAAGAATAAAAATACATTTTGGACTATTCCACATTGTATGAATTCCTTTACCACTTCAAATTGGAGACAAAAGTGTATTTTTATTAGATGTGTGCTTCTTTTTCCGTATTATACCTTTAAAGAAAGATGATGAATCATATAAAAATGATTTTAATGGAGCTATTAAACATAAATAAATTGAACATTTCCCATCAAAAGGCGCAGCAAAAACCAACAGCTTTCTTTCATTAGAAACTAATTAGAAGCTAAGGGTGGTATTAAACAACACTCATAAAAGTATTGACAGGACACATTTCATTGTGTGGTAGGCAGTTAACTTGTGCTAACTCGCTTATAGATAAAATGGAGATTAACTATTTATAGCAATTTGTTATGGTGAAAAATGGCGAAAAGGTCTTCTCGTAGAGAGCGATCATGATCAAATAGCGTAATATATCAGTACACTGTCCATGTAGACAGTATAGACAGTCAACCGAGTATGTTGCACGGACACTGATCCAGAGCATTATGAAACTCTCCCTGCCCACTAATTTAGGTGAAATCTGGAGACCAATCTCAGGCCACTATAAGTGGATGAAGGTGTCCCTTAACTTCGAATGTAAGATAATTCTAGTTAAATCTAATTCTTTGCATTTGATGCATCAATTAAAATCGAGATTTATGATGCTTTTTATCATAGTGCGGGAGATATACAGAGCTTGATGCATCAGCTAATGAGTGAAAGAGAAATGTCTTCCAAAAATTTAGAGCAAGGGGAAAAAGGATCAAGGCATTTCGAGACGTATTTATGAGCGGCCTAGAGTTTAGTCAGAGGGTATACAGTTTAAAAAATATAAACACAATTGAGCAAAAAGAGTGGAAAATAATAGAAAAAAGCGAAGATGTGTAGACCAAAATAGTGC